TTGTGTAACTACCTTAAGAAATAGAGACCTGTCTTTCCTGGACACGAGTCTGGGGGATTCTGGTCCACTGTCTGTTCAAAGGGAAACAGCTACAGACAGTCAGGCATCAGCTCTGCGGTTATTAAAATGATTCATTTTATTGTCCCAGCTTCCCAGGAACACCTTAAAAAGTCACCTGGCACTTACTCTTCTTGCAGTCTTTTTGGGAATACCATTTACATTTTGCTTTTCCCTGTTAGGAGACATCCCCGTTTACACCTTCAATGATGCCACAGGATCACTAGGGAAGGTCTTTGGGAGTTATTCACTCTCCCTCCCATCCTGACGTTGCCATAAGGAGTCCATTCACCTGTCACTCACGCCCATTAGAGAAGCAGATGACAGATCACTATGTTCAGTTGATTGATAGAAATGGCAGCGATTTTGGAAAGCAGGGAGGATCTCTCCTTAGACAGCTCCTCTGCCCTCCTGTTTTCCTTTGTTATTTTTATACTCTCATAGCCAAAGCAAACATTAGCAATGTTATCAATCATCATAGCACACATTAAACAGAGCTCCCACATAGGTTCAAGGTTACAAAATATTCCCTGATATTCAAAGTGGTTACATGTTCAAAGCAGTCCTACCCTCAACTACATTAATAGCTAGTACACAGCTATGATTTAATAAAATTAATTAATTAATTAATATCTTGTCAACACTTTACTAAGTGTAAAAGTGCACTGGGTCATTGACCAGCAGTATGGGCCTTGGAGCATCCAGTCTTCTAAGTTTGTCTATGTCAGAAGGCCTTGTTAGTGAATTAATATTTTCAGATGGTGGCACATGGGCCCATCAGGTCCTGCCAGGGCCTGCTAGCAGCACCATTCTTGTCCTGGTTACGGTTACTTAGGATAACAGTGGTGACATCATTAAGAGAGATGAATGAAATATTTCTCATCTTGCAATTACTACCCCAGATAAAGTGAGAAGAGACTGTAAATGTGTGTGTGGTACCGTACTGTTTTCATGCACTTATTTTATATTCTATCTATATGTCTGTTACATTAATGAGACAGATGCCAGGATTTTGCCACCCTTTGGGAAGGCAAAGGGTCTAGTGGTATAGGTGTCACACGCACATTGTGTAATTCTAGGTAAATTAACTTTTGGGGGCTTTCATTACTAATTATTAGGATAATAAGTATCTATAATGTAGATTTGTTGGGACTAGTATAGGAAATCATACTTCTTATGCACCTATCAGAATGTCCAGCACATGCACATATTCTGTGAGGGTTAGCTAGAACTAATATTATCATCAGCACAATATTGTAATTACTATTAATTTTCAGCATGCCACACTGTCATTTGAGTTAGCTTAGAATCCTGAGTTAAAAACTGTGGATGAGATGGCAAAATACCAAATTTATCATTGTTTACTTTATCATGTATAAGAATGAAAATATCATAAATTTGTTAACTTCATTCACAAAAGTTAAAAAAAATTATAACTGTGAACTAAGGAATGTTGTAAGCAATGTTACAATGAAATGAATACAACTGTATCCCTGGTAACAAAAGTTTGCATTTCAGTGGAGAGATAGTGAAAAACACATGTAAGTACCACAATGTGTTAGATTTGCTACATTAGAAATACCTGGTACGGTTAAAGTTTCAGTTTGTTTAAGGATAAAGGAGAAAGTGGTCAGTTCCACTGGGGCAAGTGTCAGAACAAGAACTGGGCGAGGAGGGGAAGCTTGCAGACCTCTATCATAGCCGAGTGGTTAAGTGCAGATGGGCATTCCACGCTGCGGGAACAGCGCCAGCAACGGCCCAGGTGCAGGAAACAACTTCATGTTCTGAAATGACAGGAGTGTGGGGGTGGGGGATGGGGATATGGCAACAGATGAGGCTGCCTTGCTAAGCGGGGGACTGATTAATCCATCAGTAGATGGTCTGTGACCCCTCACCCTGTGGTAAAGTATGGTAGGTGCTGAAGAGACAGAGGTGGCCTTTGCTTTGATTGACTTACACTCTGAATAATCACATTTCCCCGTTTCTATGGGAAATGGGGCTTTACTGAGGTGGGGTGAACATGATCTGATTTTTACTACAGGAAGATCACTTGTGTGGCTGTGAAGAACAATGTTTGAAGGTAGGCACAGCTGGTGACAGAGAGACTGGGGGAATAATTATTTATTAGTTGAAATGAGAGGAGCTGGATGAAGACGCTGGGAGTAAGGATGGGAAGGAGACACAAGCTGTGCTACGAACTTGGTAACAAGCCTGAATGTGTAAGTGGTGGGGACTCACTGGGTCTCAGGTATAAAGGAGAAGGTCAAATCAAGATGATCTTCAGTACTGGGGGAGGCTAAGGCAGATGGATTACCTGAGGGCAGGATCTCAAGACCAGCCTGAGCAAGACCCTGTCTCTAAAAAATTCAAAAAATAAATTGGCTGGGCCTGTGTGCCTGTTGTCCTCTCTACTTGGGAGGCTAAGGCTGGAGGATCACTTGAGGCCAGCAGTTCAAGGCAACTGTGAGCTCTGATCCCACCACTGCACTGCAGCCTTGGTTACAGAGCAAGACTCTGGTCTCTTAAGACAAACAAGAAAACCACGCCCCCTAAGTAGACTGATGACGTCTTCCTTGTGTGAGAGGGACGCTTTCTGTGATATTGGTGTCTCATCTGCTTTTCCAGATAAGCTAAACCTGGGGTGCTAAGATAAGCTGGGAGTGGTGTCCCAGGAGGTGATGTGTTTAGAGTGAGTGGGGGTTGGGAAACGTCACAGGGATCTTAATTAGGATTGGGCAATTTGGCTTTTGCCTCCCCTTGGCCTTGCTCAGATCTGGTCATTCTCATCCGTCATTCTAAACATAGCTCCAACCTAAGCTCTGGAACCACTCCTTGGACTTAAGTATTTCAGCTGTGAGAGTGTCAGCCAGACTCTCCTTCATTCACCCAAGTGGGCAGACAGAAATAAATGCTCCAAGGGGAGCTTAACAGGGCAGGGGTCGGGGGCATTATTATTTTTTACCTCTGGAGAAGGCAATGATTTTCTCTGTATGTTCCTGTGACCCTGGACTCTCCCTTCCTCCCTCCCCATTTAGCACAGATGCAGAGGTCTGAGGTTTTTGTAAGGCTGTCCCTATGGCTTGTCTCACTGTGGCTTCTTCCAGAGCACAGAAATACACTGCGGTGTCTTCCAGCTGTAAGTCTGAGATCCTGAGACTGATGGATTTGGCTGCTTTCTGGAAGTTCACAGAGAAGCGATTCTGTCTTGCATTTTGCTGGTTAGATTCTTGGAGAATAACAAAAACCATCTGCCCACTGGGAAGTTGTTTGTACCAGTGCAAATCGTAATATGTATAACTAGTGCGATATGTACAGGGCAGGGTCACCGACTCTCCTTCCTGCACAGACATCTCTCGTTGAGACTGAGTGACTGTCTGGGCCATGCTGAATCCTGTGGGAAGAGAAAGGGTTATACTGGGTATCCTGTCAGAGAGAGGGACAGACAGATTCACAAGCTGCTTCCCCTCCCCACACATCTTTCTTCTTCTTGATGTAAACTTCAGGCAAAACCCTTCCTCTCTCTCACCCACAGTATCTGGGCCCATGAGGGGATTAGACCCTGTGCCATTATTCATCTTCCTTCCCACTTTCCAGTCCTGTGGGGCACTAGTCAAAGCCAACACAAGTCAGTGCCTTCCTTACCAAGACAGGCGGAGACCACGAGTGCCAACACCCAGCCAGGGCATGTCATGCTGGCAGCTGCCTCCTGCAGGCTGAGCAGCCTCCTGTTCTTCCCTGGACCTTGTTATCAGCTGGGTCATGACGTCACTGTTGCAGGACAGGAAGTGGGAGGGTGTGTGCTGCTGCCTCCCTCAGGAAAGCTCATCAGTGCTTTTTGTCATTGGCCTCATAGAATAAAACTGGCTATATAAAGTGAAATAAAAGAGATGTCAGAGTTGTAACTCATTCTGGGATCCAAATGAAGAGGGGCAGGAGCTGGTAAATTGTTTTTTAAAGATGCAATGTGGAGAGAAGGGTGAGTGGAGGAAAGACAGGGAAAGTTAACGTGACCTCTGCTTTTCCATAAGCTTCTCTCTCTCTCTCTCTCTAATCCTCTGTCCTTCTTCTTTCTTTCTTTTGCTTTCTTTTATCTTTTCTTCCTCCTTCCCTCCCTTTGTCTTTCTCTCTCTTTCCTTTTATTCTCCTCCCTCCCTCCCTCTCTGTCTTCTCCACCACCTTAAAGCCAATATGAAAAAAATAGTCTTGGGTTGTGATAAAATAGGTATTAGTTATATTATTATTTGACGAAACTGTATAACTTTGAGAAATGATCAAAATAATGGCAATACCATCAATAACAGATAGTCTCAAGGAAATTGAAACCAGGATTTTGACATCTAATTGCACTGAAATTTGCTGATAACTTTCTTCTTTTTACAAAAAGAATAGCTGATTCTGGTTGTGTCAGGGAGCTCGACAATACTGGTGGCAAGAGTTTTTGTAAGGACTATTGGGCCCTTCTATTAATGACTCCGTGAAGAATCAGAACAATCAACATGGCCTTCACCTGGGAACATTCTGAGTGGCTTGTCCTGCTTGGATCCACCTGTGCTCTGTTAAATCTACTCACTTAACTAGTTGTTAAAGGAAAAAAAGACACTGGGAGGGTTATTGGGACAAGTTCCGCTTGCTGTAGTGGAGTCTCTGCTGTAATTCATATTTATTATCTTCTTCCATTCATTCCCCTCTGGCTAACACTCCCGCTGGGCTACATTTCCTTCCCAGGGAGGTAACCTTCTGGAGCCTTTTATCTCTGAGGCATCTAAGCCCCTGGCTATTCTGCTCTAAGCAGGCCATAGTTGCCACAATTGCTGGTTTACCATAATCATAACATAAAAGTGCTGAAAATCATGTCAGGGAAACCTCTGAGTTTGAGACATATTTCTCAGCTCTCACTAGGTAGTAACATGATAGCCAGAGTCAATTTTCCCTGCCAGTGTACTAACTCCTGTCTTGGCCTTCTGGTCTATTGGCAGGAGGATCCCCAAATATCCAGGCAGTTTGTGTA